GTCGTCCATATCTATGTTGACGGTAGCCTGCTTCATCGATTTTTCCACATTTTCTCGTCACCCGTGCTACGTGTATCCGCTCTCATTTATCTGTAGACCGGATCACTCCCATCCCGACAGGTGCTTCATTTCGTAAAACCGTCGTAGGACCATGAAACAAGAATAGGCTCAAATGTTAAAGGTAAATAGACACTATTAGATGGACCAGAGGCCTTATACGTCCTGGGTATAATGCGTCTACTTGACTGACGGCTGAATACCATCGAAGCCTCATGAAAACTTTTTTATACCAGCATAAACGACTATGTGTTAATATGTGGGTTCTATTAGCGATCTTTTTCCTCTTCAGCCGCACTGTTCATTGCCTACGGGGGGAATGTGTTTATTTACCCGTCACGGAGATACGAAAAAGTCAGAAGGCAACAGATAGCTGAAGACATGGATATGGGTGTGGAAAAAAATAAAGTGTATTTTCTATCTAAAAGTAATATTGAAGACAGATCGCTCCCATTCCGACGAACTTACTTAAGGGATAGCTACTGAACTGGCTTGATGAGGAACAGAACAGCCTATGGCCAGAACCTTTTGCGAATAATTAACGTCCACGGCCCTACGGTAGTATTTGTGTCTGCACATGTGCGACGAGCAAAGCGTTTAGTTCTCGAACAGCTGTCTGAATACACGATGAGTTTTAAAGAGGACAAGGAAGAAGAAGATTTTTTCCTATTTAAGGAGTGTAAGAGTAGCCTCTCGTAGGGGAAAGCGTTTACCTACTACTGAGCGGTCGGCATTCGACAATCAGGCAGCGTATACTAGCTCTACAGATGAAACAGGAAGACTTAGCTGATCAATACTCTACGCTATTTGGCAGCTCTGTTAATCTGTTTCGGGTTTTTTGGATTATTTCGAGGCACTCTAGGAGCTGTTGCACGCCAATCGCTAGGGAGCACACGCTCGTGCACTCTAGGAGCAAACGACAAACATAACAACAAGTCATCAAGGCATCGTTGTTAGCAGCTTTAAGAGTGGTTGCTTGCTCCTGATTGGACCCATTTTGTTGTGACGTGAGTCTTTTATTCATGCTGTTGAAATCACAGAAAAAAAACGCCGCTTTCTGAAAAAGCGTCTTCATTCATCTTCTGCGTATTCAACTTCTGTCGATTATTCGTTAGCAATAACTGATATTCTTTTGTTTGTGCCAGTGCACTTCATTAAGATGGAGTAAACTCTTTTGTTCTTCGATTTTTGTGGTAGTGCATCGCACTGCCATAGGGTACTTAAATACCAATAGCGGAATCCGCTGAATTTGGGCTCTCTCTAACCAGTGTTTTTGATCAACGTTGTCGGCACGTCTATGTCGACCTTTACCGAATGGCCGTCGGTTTGCTTTTGCCGGGATGTCATCCGTCCATTGGTGATACAAAAGCAAAAGCTTCGGTTGTTAGCCAAGGAAAAGCCTTACCGAGTGGCGGTCCTCGTAATCGTTGTATTAGTACTAGTAGTGGCAAGCGGAGCGAGGGTTTTGGCGGCTTTTACGAGAGAGGTAGCGCCGCGCCGTTCCGCGATGATGGTGCTGCAGGCTTCCGCTGCTGACGGCAGCATCCGTGGTGGTGGTTTTGCCGTTGGAGGTGAGCACAGAGCGAGTGCACTAGACTTAGCTTAGGCCCAGCTGCCATATTCCGGACTAAAAGCCTCCTGGTGCTGCTGCTGCTTCAAGCGTGTGCGAGAGTAGAATGGATGGGGTTGAGGAAGGGAGGACGGGGTGTGTGGGTGGGTTGTCCCGCTGGCCGCCACTGTCTGACTCTCTCTCTCTCATTTGCAATATCTCTTTTTCTCTTTCCTTCTCGTTCTACCCTTGCGGTCCTTTCCACGTTCCAGCTCTGTCGTCTTGCCTGCCTGCTATCCGTAACGTTGCCTGCTGGCCTGGGCACCTTCAAGCCTGCCTGCCTGCCACTAAGCCTGGGACGCTGCCTGCCATAGTGTTCCCTCCCGCATAGAGGAGGACCTTTCGCCCCTTCCCCCTGCTCGCCACAGCGGCACGGCTGTCTGCCTGCGTTGCCATCCAGACGGCAAAGCAAGCAGGAGCATGCAACATAGAACCTGCCTGCCTGCCTGCCCTGGCCTCTGCCACTAGAACTGGCACCGCTACCATCACCACGACGATGCGAACGACGACCAACCATCTCATCCCTTTCCCCTGCTTTATCCCTCCGCCCGCCGCCGCACGGCGGCCCTGAGGGCCGGGCTGAAGGCCGCCCGCTTCAGCAGCAGGGTCTGCCTGCCGCCCGCCTGCCTGCCTGGCTGCTCCTGCCTGCCTGGCTACCGCTGCTGAAGGTTCCCGTTCTGATACGATACGAAAGGCAAGCAGCGGGCGGACCAGGACCATCATCGTTGTATAAAGAGGGTGCATCGTCGAAAAGAAACGCCGCCGTTTTCCTTCGGCAGCAGCGGCAAAATCGTCGTCTACTAGCAAACACGAAGACCCTCAGTACAACAACTAATATCATCGACGTTTTGTTCCGGCAGTAAGTTCGTGTTACCGACGATTCCAATAAGAGGAATAACCAACTACGCTATTTTGACACCAACAAAGTCAACAGGAACCATCAACTTGGAATGCCCATTATTAATACGACAATAGCAATAACAACAACAATAACAACAACTACAACAACAGCAGCAGCAACAACAACAATATTGAGGGGCAATCCACGAGAGCACCCGCCAACACTTCCTTTCATCTGTTGTTTACGCGTGAGTATGTCGCCGGCGCTTTGAGTGTCTCTGCTAGTCTACTCTTTGGCGGTTTAGTCTATTGTTCTACTACCCGGTGCACATCCATCCCTACAAGCGTATCTTCTACTTTTATTTTCGTCTGTGAGAGCTTGCTTGCATCGAAAGGATCGCCCAAAAGTTTGGAAAGCGTCTGGAGGCTTCAATGTCGCCGTGTATTTTGCCCACGTCAATCTTTACGGAGTTGTGACAACCCGTGTGTGCGCGGAGTGCGTGTTGTATCCGTTCGTTGTGTTATCCGTGTGCTTGCTGAGTGACGCAACGGTTCGGCACCTTTATCTCGACACCACAGATATCATTTCTTCATTTGTTAATGCCGTAGTTGTTGAGATAGGAGAGGGGTATAACAGGCAAGGTTCACAGAACTGAAAAATCACTCAGCAGATGACTAAATGAAGATGTCGAGTGAGTTAGCTAGCAAGTGAAAGCTCGTGGGAGATACCTCTACTTTTAATCGTAGCACTCAGCAGAACAAACGACCGCTCAAGTCAGCTCAGCTTGTATTCGACCAAAATTTTAAAGCGCATTACTATTGTGCGCTGACAACAACAACAACAACAACAACAACAACAAAAACAACAACAGCAACAGCAGCAGCAGCAGCAGCAGCAACAACAACAACAACCGCAACAAGCCACAAAGCTTTCACGCATTGCCGCCGTTATCGTTGTGGCTATCGTTTATCCCTTTACTCCCCCCTCGATCATTCTACTAATCTTTGTTTACTCATGCACCCACTCTCTCTACGTGTCGCTGTTGTCATCAGCTTTGAAGTGCGCTAAAACGGCCGGCTGTGTCTACCCATTTTGAGCGTCAAGATACGGTACAATAATGGTACTTTTCTCTCGACTTTAGAACGAAATCATTAACATTAATGCGTGTAAATTAGTGATCTAGCGCAGCCGTAAAGAGAATCTGCCAGTGAGGCGCATAACAACGCGAAGTGATCCAGTGAGGAAAACACAGCAACACGAGTGAAGAAGCGAGAGAAAGGAAGAGAATCATCTGGGTTGTGCTTATGTGGTTCTGTGGAATCTTCCGTAGCGCTAGAACCGTCAGCTTGACCGCCATCTTCGTCATCCTAGATATTCCCACCATCATTGGGTGTCGCGAACGTAGATTGCCACCTGGCTACTACTTCCAAATACTTAAAACTTATTTCTTTTACTTATACATTATCTAGAATACAAAGCAAGCAAGGAACCAAAAGACTAAGCGGCGATTGTTTGTTCCGCCACGACAAGCACTGATTTAAGTTCTTCACGTTTGGCTCGACACCGAGAGAGGGAAGACAACAAGTGGGCGGAAATCTTCAGTGTTGTTAAACGAAGCAGTAGCGATGGCAGTAAAACTAAAATTTTTATCATCAGCATTATTAGTCGTAGAGATATTTGCATAGAAAAGTCAATTGTGGACTAGATATTTTTAACAGGACCATTATTAGCACTACTACGATTTCAACCGTTTTTGCTACAATTTCTGAGCTGCACGCAGAGGTGGTAATCCGATCGTGCAGCTGTGGCGTCGTCGTCGTCGTTGTCGTCGTCATTCTTGTAGTTTCTGCTGTCCAGAGCCTGAAATTGTTGAGTTGAAATCACGGTACCGTATAGCAGAGGCGCAATATGACAAGTGAGTAGTCTTCGTAGCGGCAAGTAAAAAGCAAAAAGAACGAACCAAAACACAATGAAAAAAACAGCAATACTTAATTAACAACGATCATGATAGCCATGTCGATCGCATCAATATCGCACAAAAATACAAATTCGCTGGTCTAGTGCTTATAGCCGTCATCCGTGACAGTCTCGTGGGACCTAATAGTGTTGCTGGCACCAGCTTTCTCCTGGCAAGGATTAGAAAAGGCAACAGCAACAAATCACAGAACAACAACAACTTTACAAAGCCACAAGATAGAGAAATAACACGAAACATAGAGAAAAATAAGAAGAAAAACGATAAAAAAACTAATCGACAACAGAGAAAAATCATTATAGAAATTGTGCAGTAAAAAAAGAGATGATTGTCGAAATATAAAAACAAAAACGTCCGACGTGAATACGGATAAGCATATACTCAGGTAAAATTGATAAATACTTAGTTGCTGTTTCTACTGCTATTGCTGTTACGTTCCGTGTTGTTGTGCTGGTACGGTGCGGGTGGGGGTGCGCGTGAGGTTGTGGAGCTGTGGGGGCTGTGGTGGGGATGTGTGTTGCTGCTACTTGTGGCCACCGACGGCGAACTGTCCCAACAAGCTTCTGCTTGACGAGAGGCGGGACACGACAGCCACGAACAGGCGGCCGCCTCCGCCGCCATACGTCGGGTCGACGGCCCTCGCCGTCGTCGTCGTCGTCATCATCATCATTATCACCATCGTCACCATTATGATCATCGTCAGTAACATTAAATGCAAGGGACTGCTTCTCCTCGTCACAGCCGTCGCCCCCGTCGTCGTCATCACCACCATTGTTGTTGTTGTTGTTGTTGTTGTTGTTGTTGTGGGGGCAGTGTTCGCCGCATTCATCATTGCCGTGTCCATCATCATCATCATCATCATTACCACAATCATCACAATCATTGCTGTTCCTATCGACAGCAGCGACACCGTCAAAGTCGATGATGACAGCAACAACAACAACAACAACAAGCAGAGTCTCGCCTAAGTGGAAAACTCTTTCCCCGTGTAAAATGTCATCACAGTATCAGCAGTGTCCGCATCACTCTCAGTCATCACTGTCTTAGTGAACCCAAAGGAATAGCAGTTGCTCATAGGAATCGGATACCTCGCCGGCGACTAAAAAGCAAAATCTTTCAGTTGTGCAGGCGTGAGTTCGGTAAGCCTGTGCAGACGTCTGTTTGCCTGTGTGTATGTATGTGTTCCGATGCGTTTGTGCCTGTTTGTTCACTGCATAGAGCAGTGAGTGACGTGAGTGAATTGTATGTTGTTATGTGCAGTGAATGTTCTATTGTGCTTTACTGTTAGAAGTCTGTAAAGTTGCGCCCTCAGGGGCAGCCAGACGGACCGTGCACGCACAAACGTTTCAAGCTGCGCCCAGGATGCTCTTGTCCTCCGATGCCTGAACGCAGTTCAAGAGGTGAGCTTGCGTATTACTGTTATATTAAAGCCGGTAAATGTGAAGGGTATCGCGAACAGAAAGGTTGTATGTGTTGATAAGAACTCCAACCAACATTTTTTTAAAATTTTAGTCACTTGAGTTTTTTACCATGTGCCGATCGCGAAGCTTGACTTGACGACCACTGGTTTCTTTAACCAGAAGTTTAGTAGTTCAAACCAACGGGCCGATATTTCACTTGCACTTCTACCATCTCAATTTGCATCACTGTCGTGCTGCATTTAACTCCGTAAGAGGTTCCAGATAGGGTTTTTTTTAGCATCACGCAGGTCCGCGACGAGTCGCAGATGCAGCATCAGGAACAGCCCCATAAACACGACATTACAATTCAATTTCCATTGCGGTCCGTGAGAATGCGGTACGCTGCTACGAGTAAGAAGCCAAAGTAGTTCCGCGCGATGATACTTAAAGTACCTAACCTTTACTTCAGGTGGCAAACGGACGACAAAGGAAGAGACAAAAACGACCAACAGGAAAGAGAAAAGCAACTTGATTGAGAGGCAGGCAGACTGACGCGGGAGCGGGTAGTGCAGGTGTTGAAAGAAGACCAACCTAACCCGGCGGGACTATGCGATGCTCTTGACAGGTAATGCCGGCAATGAAGCCGGTTACTCTAGTGCTGGTCTGCTCGCTCTAAGGTGGAGATGGTAGCGCTTGTCCTACTTTTCACTGCCGTGTCTTGGTTTTCTGTATGAAGTAGTAAGACACTCATGCCGTTTGCGGCTTGCTGGGTTTGTGGTGGAATTAGAGATAGTAGGCGACGCCGTTTGCTTTTGCTTGTTTGGTATCAGTATCAGCGACACGAGAGGGTCGCCGGTTCGGTGCTGCCTCTTTATGGCCAGGTAGATGTTTGCTGCTACTGCTGCTGCCACCGTCGTCGCTACCTTTGTGCTGGCGCTGCTTCTTCGTCCATGGCTTTTCGCACTGTCGGGCGGGGCGGGGCGGGGCGGGGGGAGGGACTGGCTAGAGCAAAGGAGAACGAAGAAAAGGTAAAAAAGAGGAAAACTGTTCCGGCAGTCCAAAGGACAGTGAAAAGGAAAGACCATTTCCTACCGCCCCACTAGCTACCTATAAAATGGAGGCAGAAGCTGCTGCCGCTACCGTTAGGTTTCTTCTCTGCGGGAGCTAGGAACGGGGCAACTTGGTAAAAAAGGAAATGGGCTATGGAGGGTTGAGGGCACGAAACTCTGAAACCCAGAGAAAGATATAGAGAGAGACGGAGGTGCGTCTCGTGAAGAGAAGAAGATCTGGGTGGTCTCGTGCTACGTTGCTGCACTGTATTGCCCGAGGCAATACAGTGCTTTCTAGGGCTTTCGCAAGCGCTCGTGAATGCTTTTCTCACCGTTCTCTGACCAAGGCTGCATAAGCAGCCTTGAAAAGCGGTAATAAGTGCGCAACGGTAGAAAACGTCAAACCAGAACCCAGCAACGCACTGACGTACGGACGAACGACAGCAAATACGATTGTTGCCTAAACGATCCTCCCAAACAAACTGTCACGGCCCTCTTCCTGGCCTCCCGTAAAGTCCAAGAAAGCCTAAACGCGTCCCCTATAAACAAACGCAGTGCAAAGAATAATCGACGTAATACAATTGTAACCACAAATGCAGAATCAGATAAAGACCACACGGATGGAAATACTTATAGTAGTTCACGAACATTTTGTGAAATGATTTTTATATGACTTAACAAACGGGCTACCACTGATCTATCTCATCTGTTGTAACATGTGCATTTTTGCCGGCTATTCTTACCAGCAATTGCTTGCCGATGCTAATCGGTAGATGGTTCTCTCTACTGGATAAGACATTGTAAAAGAAATATGGGGAGGGAATTTTATGTTTAATTTTTTTTTTGAAAACTTTCCACTTCTTGAATATATCAAAATTCTATTTTACCAAAAATCTATTTTTTATTTTTATCTATCGATTAAATAAAGTTGACTTTCCAAGCAAAAGACAATATTCGATCCTGTTTGACACAACGGTAGTTTACTGTTAAGTTCTACTGATCGAAAATTCTGAAGCCATATAAAAAGCGGAAACATGGGCTTTCAAGGTTCTTAACCTGCCGGAATAAATGCCTATATATTAGATTTATTGTCTGTGACATAGAAAGAATCGATTCGAATCGAAAGCGTAGTACTAGTAGATGAGGAGACACAGGTTAGGTGTATACGACGACGCAACTGTCCTTCTACATGCTGTAAAAACGTAAGCCCACTTTGGTCGCCCCATTGCCCCTATACCGTACGATTAAATCTGACTGCGGTTCACCAAGAGAACAATTAATCGTATCTCCCCCATTTATTTTACTCTCTAGTTCCTGTGCTATGTTTTAAAGATGCATTACGTAAATGGCAGTGATATATATGATAATATCTAAATATTCCTTTAAATACTGCCTACTTAAATTGACAATCAGGCCATTGACAACAATGTTAGCAACAAATTAGTTATTGTTATTACTGATGTTAAAGTGTATTAATGTCAGTAATTTTTGTTATGCTCGTAGTGGTCGTTTAAACGATTCGAGAAAGCCTTATTCTGTATTACTTTGTTTATGTACTTTGTGTACTACGTATGTGTGCTTATGGTGCACAGACAGATACGAACATATTCTATGACACAGGTTACTATTACACTGTTAGCATTGCACTGCACTAAACTATAGTGTTAGTCAGAGATATAATCTGATTTTGAAACGGCACGTGCCCGATTTATACTTTCAGGCGCATTTGAGGGTTCGCGGTTCTTCTGCTGTTACTGCTATCCTGAGCGCTAAGTTGTTGATCGCACAAAGCTGGTTCTTAGTTGTATGATTTAAGATAAATTCAATTTAAATCTGTGATCTTAACAGACGAAAAACACTTTGTGGCTCAATACTTGAATAGATTCTATTGTTCTAAAATTGTTATTATATGAGTAGGGGATCACTGTAATAGTCCAAAACATCAGCAAAGCACAGCGGAGCACCCTAAGTGTGTACTTTGTTAAATAAAGTATGTGTGTACATATATATCTTTTCTACCTTTAAATGATGGATATATGTTTTCTGCGTACAATTTACTTACTACGTTGTCGGCAGGTAACTTTGAAATCGGTTTGTTTCCTTACGTTATCGCTTGAAAGTGTAATTCAAATAATACATGAACCTACTTTTTAAAATATAGCGTTATGTATTGCGTTAGGGGATGCGCTAGGGGACCCCTGTACGCGACGTTTTATGGCTAAACCTAAAACTGATGAGGTTATTTTGCGTTGTAAAAAAGTTTTATGCTAGAAATTCTCTGTTAACAATTCATGAGTTTTTTTTTTTTTTTTTTGAATAAAATTAACTAAGGTTTGACAA